CAGGCATCTGTGTTTGTGGTTTCCTCCACAGACTTGGAGTGGAAATTCAAAATGTCACTCCATTTTGCTTTTCAGTTGTCCGAAGACTACACTGCTACATATTTCTATGTTTTTAAGTGGGATGTTTTTAAGAACTTAAGTGCTGCACCAGACAATCACAGCATTGTTTATCCATTACAATGGTTTCATCCATTAATCCAGCTAATTATGGGTTATATACAAGTGTTCTGTCTTTATCGCCTACTCACAGCAGAGACTGTCTTTTGACAAGAACCCACCTGTGTGGGTTGCCAAGACCTTGTCAGAGAAAGGGCTATACAAATATGCACTTTCCTCTCTTGTCATCTCTTTTCCCGCTGCACCATGAGCGCCGTGAGGCAGCTGTGATTTGCAGGAATGCTCTGGCTGCCTGCCCGGGTGCTGAACTCCTGGGGTGGGGCGGCAGGCACGCTGGGTGCAGCACTCTTGACTCTGGAATGTACTTCCTCATAGAGGTGCCAAGGCCTAAACTTGGCAGATTATAGACACAATGGCTTTTTAGCGACCAGGATATTTATTAGTTCTGATTGAGAGGTGAAAAAAGAGGCTTTTTAAACTTGCAGAGAACTGGAATGCAGTTTAATTGAATTACTTTAACTTCAGAGGAAACAAAAGAATGTCTTCTAAAATAACAAGTCATACTATACTATAAATTAATAACGTAAACTAACAAAAAGTAAAAATCCCTTTCTATCATAACTTGTCTTTTTATTATATATAAATGTTAAAACAATGTGAGAATTTATGCTGATGATTCCTGAAACTACTGTTCTAAACTTTTATTTTAGAGAAAATAGCAGTATGAAAATTAATTGCTGACTTTACTAGACAACAAAAAAAATCCTATCTTCTATTTAAATCGTAACTCCATTTTTGCCAAATACAGTACCATCTGATAAAATTAACATTTTGTACGTCTTAAAATCAGTTTTCTACCATTTTTATTATCACAATTTTTAAATAAAATTTAAGTAACCACAGTGGAGTAATTCACTGAGATGCCTTTTTTGTTTTCCTTTTGCCAGTAAAAGATAATCAAAAAGAATGAGATGTAATCAGTGTCACTGAATTGTACATGTAGAAACAGTTGAATTGGTGTATGTCTTGCTATGTATATTATCAACAACAACAAAATAAATTAAAAAAAAAAAAAGAATGAGAGTTGTTTTCCCTTTCCTGCCCACGTACCCATGAGTCCCAGTTTCCGAGGGAGAGGGCTGCTCTGGAGCTGGGAGTGTGGGAGAAGGCAGTGACAGGCTAGAGGAGCTGCCTGTACGGTGGGGAAGAGGTCAGAGGCCTGAGGGTTATACTAACCTGCAGCACATTCCTCACGGCACCCAGGGAAGGTGGCAGGGAGACTGGCTGTAAAGTCTCTCTTGGCAGGCTGGACCCTAGGTCCAAGGGCCTCCCAGCCTCAGCAAAGACATCTCCCCTCCCATAAACCCCCCAGTCCAACTTCACACAGGAACAGAAGAACCACCCACCATAATGAAGCCATGTGGGCTTGGACAAGGAGCTGTAAATGGTGACTAATGTAAATAAAGACTGGAGGGTGCTCTGAATATTCTGCTCTAAGTTAGAACTTCACCATGACCTAAGGGTGGAGGGATGCCTGAGGTAAGCGTCTCACCAGCTGGGTTCAACTCTGGGCTTCAGAGTATATTTGAATTAGAGGAAAAAGAAAATGCAACATTAAAAAAAAAAAAGAAAGGAATCAAATTAATTCCTGCCACCCAACATCCTTCATATATGCATGATAGCAACCAAACATTGCATCATCTCGGGTATTTGTTAAATGGTCATTCCCCAGGCTGAACAATCACCCCATCAAGGGGAGAGTGATGTCTGAGTCCCCAGAGCACATCACGGTCTTTGTGAGACACAGGTTCAAAAAAGTTAGGCTAAAAGTAAGTCAAAATCAAAATGAAACATGCTCACAATGAAGTCTTAGTTTTTAGTAGAGCATTGCTTTAATCCTCTTTTTAGAATAAAAATAATGAAAATATACCTATGTTTAAAATACATATAATAAATTATTATGAACACTTAGTTATTACTATAAGGATATTCATTTCAGTTATATTTATACTTTTCCATTTTTGAGACAGCTTAAATATCTAAGAACTAAAAATTATTTGAAAAAAGTATGCCATATCTATATATCTATACAGCAGAAAAACACACAGACATTAAAATGGTACTGCATAACAAGATTTAAAGACTTAGAACATATCCGTAATATATTATTAAATAAGAAAAGTAGGTTATACAATAATACTATATCACTTTTGTGCAAAAGATATACAAATGACTAAAAGGCTATATAATATTGTGTTTGTACTAGGAGAGTGGAATTGATTATGGAAGTTTTGGGTTTTTTTTTCCTTTGGGAGGGCAAAGTCTAAGCTTCCTATGCCTTCTAAAATAAGCATGTGTTTTTATAAGAATAAAGCTATAATATGTGTTGGATTTTAGATCCCCCTGATGCTGGGAGGCTGGGCTGTGCATAGCCATGTGCCTCACCTACCACCTCATCTACCTGCTGCAGACAGACTACATTTTAATGGGCCCAACACAACAGGCCATGCTGGGAGGGCTCTGTTCATATTCCTGATGGCAGAGCAGGGTGGGAACTGAAATGCTGGCCTCAGGTGTGGGTCAGCATGGATGTGATGGGAAGAAGATAGACAGGTCAACACAATCCCAGGTTGCTCTGTGAAAATGGCAATTGGCTGGATCTTCACAAGCCAGGAGCCCTAGCGGTGCAGTGGTTAAGAGCTCAACTGCTAACCAAAAGGTCGGCAATTGGAATCCATCAGTTGCTCCTTGGAAACCCTATGTGGCAGTTCTACTCTGTCCTATAGGGTCGCTATGGTTTGGAATTGACCCGATGTCAACGGGTTCTTCATAAGCCATGGGGAAAACACACACACACAGACACACACACACACACAAACTTTGTCCTTAAATTAACCAGCTTCTAATATTTGGGCTTCCAAAGAGAGCCAAAAAACCACATTGCAGAGGCAGCAAACAAGGAGAAAAGAGGGAAGAACCTGAGTAGGTTTTACAAAAAGCATGTGTGATTCCAGCCTCTCAAGCAGAATGAAACGTTGATTTGAAGCAGGGAACGCTTTTGATATTCTCAGCTGGTCTCAGGATAATTTTGTGAGGCATAGTGCTTTGGAAATAGCATAAGATTTGGAAGTTTGCTTATTAATTATAGCCCTACTCTAGCTGTTCCAAAAGGGATTTGCAGCTGTTTACATATAGAGAGGAGTCCCTGGGTGGTACAAACAGTTAACTCGCTTGGCTGCTAACTGAAAGGTTGGACATTCAAGTCCACCCAGAGGCACCTTGGGAGAAAGCCCTGGTGATTTACTTCCAAAAAATCATCCACTGAAAACCCGGTGGAGCACAGTTCTATTCTGAAACAGACGGGATCAATATTAAGTCGGAGCCTACTCAATGGCAGCTGGTTTTACATACAAAGATAAGCACAAAAGATAAAGTGTAGGTCTAGGCATTAGAGGACTAGAGTTCTTGTCCTGACTAAGCTACCTATTTATTATGTAATCTTGATCAAATTACCTCTTTAAATCATAGTTTCTTCATCCTCATCTACAAATGGAGATTGTAATACTTATGTGGCAAAGTAATCTGTTGTAAATTTGTATCATGTTTTATTTTTGCTATAGAACCCTCAGAAAGAATTTAATTTTCTCTCATGCCAATGGGAGGAGGGACTTCCAGCCAGATTTAAATTTTATTTTAGAAACAATAAGCAAGGTGACATTCTCACATCCAGATGCAGTGGAGCAAACTCATACACTTTTCATAGGCTGGGCATGAGGAGTAAATGAAACAATGTATGTTAGAATGTTATGTCAACTGGTACGCAATGTTCGGATGTTAATTATTATTACTGAAAACGCCATTCACTCACACTATATGGCAGAAAGACCCAGGAGACTTGGGCTCTAGTCCCAGCTCTACCCAGCTCTAGCTTCTGGGACCATGTCTTCTTCATCTGTAAAATGGAAACATATCCTTTGCCTTGCCCCACTCATTTCACAAGGTTCTTATGGGCTCAAATAGTAATAATTCATGTGAAAGGACTCTGGACAGTGCTGGACAAGATACTTATAAGTAAGCCACAACCAAAAGTCAGTAAAGTCACTTTAAAAAACTCTGGGAGCTTTGAGCATTGAACATAGATTAAAATGAATTGATTGGGTGACTTTATTAAAGAAAGTCTGTATTAAAAACAAAAACCTAAACAACCAAAATGTCCATTAGCAGTAGAGTGGATAAAGATAATGCTTATGTGGTACTTTAGTCATACAATAGAATAATCACAACAAGAAAAATAAATGCATTTTAGTACACATTACACATAATGCTGATAGAAAGAAGTAAAACACGAAAGAATACATACAATGATTTCTTCATATAAAGTTAAAAACAGGCAAAATAATATGTTTAGAGAAGGCTACATAGGCAGTAAAATTATAATTAAAATGCAAATGTATGTATGTATATCATATACTTTTCTATATGTACATTATAGCTCATGAACAAAAGAAATATCAACAAAACAAACTTGATTCTGTGCATATTAAGTTCTATCAACAGCATTCCCTTTTCTTGGACTTTTGCTAAGGTTTTGTTTCAATTCCAATCTCAGATATACATAACTAGGAAATTTCTTGGTTGAGATTTTATTTAACCACTTCAAAAAAAAAGATATACTCAGTAAATAGGTTATGGTGTTTGAAGTTGGCTATCATGTACTTATTAATAATTTCTGATCATTTGGTCATTTTTAGGGTCAAATGGAAAATTCTAGTATTAATAATAAAAAGACTACAGGGCTGTAGTCACCACCTGAGCATACCTTACTACCAGCCTAAGAGAAAATGTGAGGCTACACTTGATAACTTAGGGGCACTATGACTTACCAGCTGGCTGGGTTTGTGCTATTCTCTTAGGATAAGTCTTGCTTCGACTTCTTGCCACATTCTGATCTGGCCGGGGAAGTTGAACAGAAAGGTCTCGGCTCATTTGCAAAGCTGTCCTGCCAATTGAAAATGCAACATTTTGATTAAAAAAGGAAAATCATACAGCCACAAAATTAAACAATGGCTTGCTCAGAATATCTGCAGAGCTGAGAGAGAGAAAAAAAAAAGACACAAGTGGCTGTAAGGACATTGCAGTTCTTAATTGATTCTCATTGCATATGGACCTTGTTGATACTAAATTCCAGTAGGAGAGATTTAGATTAGATAGAAGGAAGACCTTTCAGAGAAAGAAACAAGGAGAATTTGATTTAGATTTAAGTAGAATGACAGACTAGAACTACAGGTTGCTGGCAGTCTCTTCCAGCTCTACAGCTAAATAATACAGATATCATGTTAGGCTAATACACGGGGTAGTGATTCTACATGACTATCCCTGTGCTGTACCTATAAGGCAAGTTTATCCTTCACAGGAACAGTAGATGTGATGTGGTTTTACTCTGAGTCTTCCTGTGAAACAATCAGCCATTTATTATGCCCACCCCACCGGTGCCAGATAAAGCGCCCAAGATTTAAAGCTAGTTCAGATCTCCATGCAAAGTGCTCCTTCTCTAAAGATTCAGTGAGAATTCAAGAGGGCAAACTTTCCCCAGGGCCAAGTCAACCTCCTCAAGAAATTTTCCCAAGGAATGGTGTAATTTCATTTTCTAGCTTTCAGCGAACATTTAGCTTACTGAAATTTCATTCCACACTTGCTGAATTTGAACCAATGAATGACCCTGGCTTTCACACAGAAAAACATCATTCAGGTGCAAGAAAAATGCATTTCTCTATGTTTATTTTGATTCACCACTAGCAGAGCCAACTATGGGTGGATAAAAGCCTTTAATGGCCCCAAATCTTATTCATCCTACATTTACAGGGTAAATACTGGTCACTCCCCAGAAGAGATTAAACCAGACTTACAAAGATTCACTTCCTAAGTGCTTCTGTGGACATCTCCCAACCTCACTACCCGATTCAGCATTATTAGAAACAAAGGGTACTTGAAACACTCATAAAAAGTGGCTCTCATCAGGCCAACTGGGGACACCACTCAGTATGACTACCATGGGAATTAAGATGCCAGATCCTATCCACGAGTGTACTTCACATTCAATAGCTCACGGGAATCAGAAAGAGGAGGGGAGCAGAGGAAAGAAAACTACGACAGGTTTTCTTTCACTTGAAATTTAACTATTTTTTTTTGAAAGGTACATAAGGTAATACAAATAGCAATACTCCTCTTCTGAAAAGCTTTAAAAATTTCCATATAGAGAAGAAAATTCCATTATTACGTACAGTTTGGAGTCTGATGGTAAGTCCTACTCATAACAGACTTTCTCTATTATGACCAGAAAGACCTGGGCACCACATACTTCACTGCATAGAGGAAAAACTATTTGCCCTAAAAATATAAGCCAATACGTGGACCACTGAGGCCTTTTATAATGAGATTTTACTTTATTATTCAATTTTTCCTCATGCTTTCTCTCTTAGGAACAAAGAAGAAATGAGAAAATCGTATCACAAAATCAATAAGACGATGGTCCAGAAACATAAACTGATCTGCCACAGGCTGCGCAGGATCCAGGACGAGAGCAAGCTTTCTGGCCTCCAGCTGGTCATACAGCAGAGCCTGGCAGTGGGGGAGAAGGGGCAGTTGGTATGTTTCAGGGCCCAGTTTAAAACACAGCTCTGCCTCTCCCTAGCTGGGTGACTGTCAGCAGGTTGTTTTTCCAACCTCCCAGAGCCTCATTTTCCTCATTTGTAATGTATTTCTACTCATTCTTACTATTTTCTAGGGTTGTAGCAGAAAGTGTTTGACAGCTATAGAGATGAAAGTGTGAGGTGTCTCTACTCATGTCTGGTGGCTCTCTGTTGCAACAAGACAGTTTTATTTCCATGATTATCACTTCCCTGCCTCCTCCCACTCTGGTACTCACACCCTCTCCCCTATTCTATGTTGAGCGGCATTGCCAGCAGCCCTTCAGTCTCAACGTGAGGGCATAATCAGCAATCAGTGTGGTAAAGGGAAGAGAACAAGAGTAGGACACCTAGATTCAAATCCCAGATTTGCCACTTACTGGTCAAGGGTCCTTAGTTCAGTGATTTTACTTTTGGGGGGCCTCAAATTTCTCATCTATAAAAATGAGGATATGATACCTCCTTTGTCAGCTCATTGTGTGGATTAAATAAAGTAACACATGTAAAAGCACAAAGGAGGTTCTCACAAGACCTTGGTCTCTCTTCCACACTTTATGAAATGTGAAAGCCCATGACAGCTCACACGATTTAGGTCCTGCAGGGAGGACATCTGGGCCCCAGGGCAGTTCTCAGCCCGTGATCTCTTTCAGGAGTATGAATATACAAAATTCATTCATGAATCAAAACTAGGAATTTCCTACAAATTTAGTGTTGTTTGTTGTATGCCATCAATTCGATTCCAACTCGTAGCAACTCTATAGGACAGAATAGACTGCCCCATAGGGCTTCCTAAACCAAAATCTTTATGGGAGCAGATCGCTAGGTCTTTTCTGGTGGCTGGTGGGTTTGAACCACTAACCTTTTTCTTTCAGTTAGCAGTTGAGTGCTTAACCATTGTGCCACTGGGGATCCTTCTCTACAAATTTAACAACAGGTAAAAGCAAGGTAAAATTTTAAGGGACCCAGAGAAGGAGATACCAACTTATAACCAAATATTTGATCAATCATAGATTTAATCAATCAATCTCTATTTCAAAGTATTAGTCTTTGATAGTAAAACAATGAAAAATATGAATTAAAAATTAGATTTCAACTCAGCCTTTTCCCCACAAAATTAATTTTGAATTTTTAAAGAGAGTAGATGTCATGTATCAATAAATTCTGATTTTTCTCTTTCTTAAGTAATGACCACTTTCCCCAAAAGATGAAAAAATCCCGTTGGTATTTTGTAAGCCTAAAATTCAGGAAACAGGGTGAAGACTAGAATTCTCCCGTCTTCCTCCATTATGTAACACCCATGGACAAGGACACTCACACATACCATTATAAACACATATACAATAACACACACAAATGCAGACACCCATGTTCACACACTGCGGCTACACTGTTACCCTGTTATTGACTCCCATGCTCTAAAAGCCTTCAGGGTGGAGGAGGGGCTGCCTGTGTTTCCAAAGCACTGCTTTCATTCCAGAATACCTCCAGAATGTCTCAATAAAGGGGCAGACATATGATGCATGTTGAAGTCTGGTGGTTTTTCTCTTTTGACAATAAACACCCAGCAGTCAGAGATCCGCCCTTGCCGAAGCCAAGCTCTGGTTAGTGGCATGAAACGTCTCTCTTCCAAGGATGGTGTAACATTAGTGCTTCCTACATACAGATGTGTAGATTTAGGTTTCAGTAAGACTTACTAGGCAGTTAACACCAGCCATGAAATTAGAACAGATTTAGCAGAGCCTCCAATTCTGCAAAGGTTACCTTTAATTACTTTCTTGGAAGAAATGGTAATTAATATGCAAAACTCAATAATGTTCTAATAATAATTCCCAGTAGCCACAACACTTGTATTTCAATAAATTTGAGAAATCAGGTCTGGCTAAATTTGTAGGAGCCAACCAAAGCATGTGTTAAACAGTATAATTACAATTTCAATAGTATGAACATTGAGACAGATGACTTTTCACTAACTGAGTACAGTGATAAGGAGATAGATTTATACATTCTCTCCATAAACCTGGAAATGTTTTATGCCTCACCTGGAAGTATAGCCCAAATATTGGTTATTAGCTCTTCTTCTCAATATAAAAGTAAGTAATCTTTCCCTAAACTTCTCAGAATTATATCATTGTCTAGGGAGACACCTTGATAACCTGGAAGTTAAATTTCTAGACATCAATGAATGCTTTCATACAAATGCCAAGAATATCTATAATACAATAAAACTTAAGTTTTCTTTTAAAATCATCAAAGGATGAAATATCATAGTGAATAATATGTAAAGATGAATGCCCTGAACAGTTAATTAATCACTCTTTCATTGATTATCTCTGGTTTCAAATTCAAGACAAGAAAATTGGGTTATAAAAGAGAGGAAGTATAATCTGGCATGTTGGTGTGCTGCCAACAATTGACTCTGCTGTATTTTTAAGTCTCCTAGGGAAGCATTTCATTAAATGATGTGTCTAGTGGAACTGACAGAACAGTGTGGTCCCACCTTGTGTATTGCATTTTCGCACCCTGCTTGGGTTTACAGGCCCTGGGCAGCTGTCTCACTGCTTTAATAATACAGTAGCTCCCTGAAGGCAGAGACACTTAAATCAGATCCTTCTTTGTGTCTCTGGGCACCTAATTCCTGTCTTGCATCTCACAGGCTCTCCACAGAACAGAATGTATGGTAACAAAACAAAACAAAAAAATTTTCCCCAAAATGTAGAACTCACTCCAATTTTTAATGCTGGTATTAAAGACACAAACACCTGCCTAGCTCTATGACAGTGGGCTTTTTCTGCAACAGGCTAACAGTTTGCCTTGTGGATAAACGCACAGACTCTGGAGTTAGACTACAGGAGGTACATCTCACTCCAGCGCTTCCTAGCTGAGTGTCCTTGAGAAGTGACTCTGCCTCTCTGAGCCTTAATTTTCTCACATATTAATGGGGATAATAATACAGAAGGGCCGTGATGATTAGATGAAACATCTATAGAAAGCACTTAGCATGGTACATGGCACTTAGTAACAGCTCAGTAAAGTAGAGACATAATTGCTAGCATTACTGTATGTAGCCTTAATTTGTAGGAGGCAGATTTGACTTACACCATAAAGGATACATTGTGTTACTGCAGGGGATCGATTAAGTCCTAAGAACACATTCAGTCAGGTACTATTCAGAACATCTACCTTGTTTCATAAACACAGAAAATAATTAGAAATAAGAGATAATTGTACCAAAATGAATTTCTGAAGACCATAAGCTCTATTACATTCTAAAAGCCCTAAACTTAAAACAGTAAATGCAGACATTAAAAATATTCAAATCTGGAAAATCATTTTTGTCAAGAAAATTTTAACAAACTGTTATGCTAAAGAAGTACATTGGTACTGTGGAAAATAAGAAAAAAAATTAAACCTCAAACTTCATTGTGCATGTATGTAGACAACTGAATTAAATATTTATTCACACATATAATATATACAACCACACATCAAGGGGGAAAAACGCCATTTACCTGTACCGGTGCTTATAACTCATGGATCCAAACTTGCTGAGTTTCCTTGACAATGAATTTGATTCATTTTCTGGCATTCTAATTAATTTTTAAGAGAAAATTAGACAGAAATTCATAAATACAGATACTTATGTAACACTTGAGCATAAAGCTATATAGGAAATACAGTAGTGCAATAGTGTTTAACACAGCTAGTGAAAGTATTTTATTTATTCTACTTATTGGCAGGAAATAGTAACCAGTTAGTTTAAGCTAATATTTGAAACATAACCATACCTGGGATTTTATGTAATATCAAAATACTCATACTTTTTGAACATTATTATATATCATTGCCCTAGGAAGCTTTAGTTATTCTCTGCTTAAATCATCATTGCCCTAGGAAGCTTTAGTTGTTCTCTGCTTAAATTATCTTGGGAATTTTGGCACTATGTTGGTTTACCTATACCAACATTTCTGTGGCAGTTAGTCATTTATCTGATGTGGTGGTTTACTCTTATTTCTACAATATGCTCCAGTACTTCCCATTGTGGAATAACTTCAACACACAATGCCATGGGGAGCTCCTAGGCCCATCCCAGTAAACTAGAGGCAATGCCTCAAGCATTCTGGGCCACACCCCTCTCCTAATACAAACTGTACAAAGGGTATTAGTCATTTTATAAGAATACCCCTCAAGCACCATACTATTGGACATAATTGTTCAACCACCAGTTGACGTGGAGTTGATTCTGACTCATGGTGACCTCACATGTTTCAGAGAAGAACTGTGCTCTATAGGGTTTTCAATGGCTGATTTTTTAGACTGCCAGGGCTTTCCTCCAAGACACCTCTGGGTAGAGCTGAACTTCCAACCTTTTAATTAGCAGCTGAGTACATTAACCATTTGCATCACCCAGGGACTCCATACTTGTTCCACTTAAATCAAATGGGAATAAGGGGCAGAATTTAGTGTTTTTTTAAAAAAAGATTACTGTATTAGCTGTTAAAATTAGTTTTACCTTTACAACATGAGGATGTGAATCAAACAAACAAAAATCATCCACATGATCTAATGGTCAATTCTCTATCCTCATCTTACTTGACTAACCACAGAGACATTTTCCTTACTTATCCCTCAGGACACCACGCACTCTCCTAGCTGCTCCTTCTCCTACTCCTCTACTGGCTCTTCCTGTTCTCTAAATACTGGGAGGATCCTAAAGCTTAGTCTGTTGGCTTTCTGCTTTTCTCTCTTTTGACTTTTTCCATAGGTGACCTCATCCAGTCCCTTTGCCTTAAATACCTACCAAATTTACATTACCAGCCTTGGTCTTTCCAGTAAACTTCAGCCTTATATACCCAACTGCCTACTCTACATCTCCACTTAGATAGCTAACAGGCATTTCAAATCAAGTATATCCAAAGCAGAACATTTAATTTCCACCACTACCCCCTGGGTACAGCCAAAGCTGTACTCATTTACACAACCTAAAAACAAAAATTACTCTTGACCCTTTTTTACAGTATAAACAAATAAGATATCTGTGCATATATGTGCTTGTATCAATACAATCCAGAAAATTAGGTGGCTAAAAAAAAAATCAATAAACAGGAAACACTTATAAGTTTCTATGTATAGACAACAGAATTCTGGTTATAAAAACAAACGCAATTTTCATTTATTAGGACAATGAAAAAAACTTTCACATTAGCATACCTAAAAAATGTATGATGCTCTACACTGCATTTCCAGAGATGCTTGCAAGCGGTTTTACTTCGAGCTTCGAAAAAGAATGAGGTTTCACTGCACTAAAAGAAAGAGAGAATATAAATTACTCACCATAGTACTCTTCAGATGACAGTCCTCCTTTTGGTATCAAATATTCAAATAAGCAGATAGAATACTGTTAACTCATAAAATAAAAAATAATATTTTACATGGACTAACTTTCTCTTGTTGACTATGTTTGGAGGGTTGCATCAAAACCACCTTCGATTAATTAAAATTACAAAATATAAGGTCCATATGAAACTCAGTACCACACCCTTTATGACTTACTTCTACATCACCCCAGGGCTATGATGATCAGGATGATGACACTGAAGTTACTGCAAAATCTTCAGTCATAAATGGCCACTGATACATGAAAAACATTGACTCCTAATAAAATGGAGATGCCCATAAACCCAGTTCTTAACTATTACTTGCAGGGATACAAAGGCCACGCTTTAACTATATACTTAATGTACCTCAGGAGGGGCCACCGGGAAGAGCAACCCACACAGCAGTGTAATCTGGGCAAGTTAAATGTCTCTGATTCTGAGTGTCTCCATTCTGCATCACATCATATTATGGGGTGGATTAAATGAAATGATATGACAGCTGTAAAGTGGCAACTTCAATGCCTGTTATATAATACTCAATAATTAAACTATAATAAAAACTATATATAATAAAAACTATATAAAAAAACTATAGTAACCTATTTAATACAATAAATTTTAACTGTTATTTTAATCCACTAATTACTTGATTCTCTGTATTTAATACATAAGAAACAAAGGTGACATTAAAGGTAATTCTAATTTTGCAGGAAAGGATACTATTTATTATTTTTAAGTGATTGAATAGGAAACCGAGCAGAGTACAATATGAATGCTAAAATGATAAACCAATAGCTTTGTGAAGTTCTATAATTGCTAATTTAGTTTCAAATTTAAAAACCAAACTCAAGTTTCAAATGCAGAAATGCCTCTGGGTTGGGGTTTCTATGGATTCATAAACACAGAACTGTCAACGTAGAGGAATAATTGAAATTATTTTTTTCCTCTCACTTTTAACAAGGACAGAATGTTTACGCATGAAATTTCCCCTAAGTCCATTTGGAATGACACTACCCAATTTAGCAGCTTATTTGTAAAATAAAAGGTAATGATGAAAATATAGCCAGTACATGCATGTTACATTAAAACTAGCTGTATTCTAAAACCTTGTGAGATGGAGGGAGAAATTTAGGATGATTTCCAGGTCTGTGGCTGGGTGCTATTAATTACAGAAATACAGGAAGAAGTGGAAAATTTTGAGGATTTGGATTGCGAGAGAGCGCAGGATACATTTAAGTTGAGAAATTTTGACGTTGAGGTGCCCCTGGGTGGTACAAATAGTTAACACGCTTGGCTGCTAACAAAAAGGTTGAAGGCTCAAGTCCACCCAGAGGTGACTTGAGTAAAAAGGACTGGTGACCTACTTCAGAAAAATTCTACAAAGCACAGCTACTGACACACACGGTGTCACTGAGAGTCAGTGTCGACTCCACAGCATCTGGTTAACTGGTATGAAATGGGGAGCTAGACACACCTAGTGGGTCCGTGGGGGAGCTAGATACGCCTAGTGGGTCTGTCAACTTACTAGTCTAGAGCTCAGGAGAGAGGTCACAGCTGCCGACACAGATGATTTCACCAGAGAATACAAATGAGATTTCTCACGGAGACTGCACAGAGCGGATAAAGGTGGCATCACAGGAAAGATGCTCATGAAGGTGTAGTGAGAGAGGATAAAAAGGAACCAAGAGACAATGGTATGGGGGCGGCGGGGGGGG